GAGGTGGCTAACAAGTGCAAATCAGTGTGACTTTGAAGGAAAAACTGGCAGTACCTGTTATTTTTCCACCCTGTTTTTACTGTATATGCTTTTGAAGCAGTTTGACTGCAGTTGTTAAGACAAATCTTGGGTGTGGATTATATTGTGGGATTGGTTCCTTTAGAAGTGTCACTGTCTCTTAACATGATCATCAGGGTCATGCAGCAGTGCATGTTAGCTAAGGACTTACTTTGTATGAGTTCAATGTAATCATCGTACCGTAAAGGATTAGAGGTGTTAGGCCTGCTTACAGCCAAGTTCTCCTTTACAAACCCAGTCAAGAATCTCCAATCTGTAATATTCTGATTTTCTGGCCGGTCAGGTCTGTTTTATGTGCCGGTAGTTAAGGTTAGAATATAAGCATGTCAGGACATGCTGAATGAAGGCACATTGTAATATTTATTGGGTAGGTCTTAATTTTTATTCCAGGCCCCCATATTTGTGTGAAGTAATAGTCAAGTCTTAGCTGAGATGTATTCACGAGACCCTTGCACATCTTTAACTGCTTCCCGTCCGCCCAAAAACAGAAATACTGCTGCAGGTGGCACGGGTGCGCAACATTATGTTGTGTGTGTGTGTGTGTGTGTGTATATATGTATATGTGTGTGTATGTATATATATATATATATGTGTGTATGTGATTTTGCATTTCCAGGTAGGGGGCGCTCACGAGCCCTACCTGCACTGCCATTCGCGGCTGTCAATCACTGGGTCCCGGCCGGTGATTTTTGACGATCTCCGACGGGAGGAGAACTGTTTTGTTTACTAACATTTCTCCTCCCTGTCAGCTCGGGCACACTGCTTTGGATGGCTGTGCACATCATTTTCACCATAAACCTTGTTTGAACTTTCAGAAAGCAGGGAGGGGAGAGCTGAAATTACACACTGCAGAGCTCAGTGAAGGAAGCACTGAGAACTGATTGGCAGGAAGGGACACACCCTCTGCATGCAGGATTAAGCTGAGGCTAACAATCACAGGTTGCATACTGAAGGTCCCTCCCCTGTCACCTTTTTACCTCATGGTGTCAGGAAAACTTGTCAAAAGTGACTCATACTAACAGCAGACCACAGACACAGCTGACAGAAATGACACTCAGTGCTCTGGATTGAGATAAGTACACACCAGAAGGATATGCTTTGGTTATATTTCATGTTTGAGGTTTACAACCACTTTAATGCAGCTGCACCATCTAAGGACTGGTACACATTAACCTTTGAGCAAGTATGTGTAATATTGGTACATGTGGTCTTGATGGAGTCTGCAAAGAAAGCAAGCTATATTTAGAAACCCTCTTCGATCCCCCACAATATCCATTAGGAAAGGAATGTGATTCTGTGTTTTGGTGTACGCTATAGAAAGAAATTCTTTGCCATTTCACCATTCTATAAAAATGCACATTGCTTTCAGGAACAAAACCACTTAAGCGGGCATATGTTATTTAGGGTGCAGGCGTTAACCTTTCAGAAAAGGCTGTTTTGAAGAATGAATGATATTTCATAGGGGTAGATGTGGGTTGGGGTGGTTCAGTTCAGCTCTGATGACGTTCAGCAAAACCCTTCCACTTCAACTGTGCAGCATTTCTTAGAATAGACATGATTAAGTTTTCCCAGTCTCTTCTGTACAAACACAGATTAGTGCTTCATATTCAGGTTCAGTGCTCCTTATTTTGGATAGATTTCTTCTTGCTTTCTATTTTATTTGTAGGACAGAATGTGAAGGGAAACAAAGGAATAAAGACATTGCAAAAAAAAAAAAAACCCTAAGTCTTCTGTCACAACAATCCTACTTTTAAATCGTGCAACTTCCAGTGAAGTGATTCCCCCCCTGCTGCCTTCCACAGTTTTCTTGGGCTCTCCGAGAATGCAGCTGGCAGTTCCGCTGGCTGACCATAGAGCTGATCAGAGACCAGGATGTAAGATGTAAGGGCAGAGGAGATATCTAGAGTCTAATAGACCCCAGATTTATAAAAAAATGAATACCTGTCAATGCCTATTGCAGTCAGAGGGCCAGTGTGAAAATAATAAAAAAAAAAAAGCGTTGACCCTGTGGCGGTATGTAAACAGCAGTTGCACCATGCATGTGAGGTATTACCGTGAACGTCAGAGGGCAGTAATTCTAGCACTAGACCTGTGTAAATATAAATTGGTGACTTGTAAAGGCTTTTAAAGCGTTGCCTATCAATAATAAAAATGTATGTACTTTGTTGCTATTGCAAGGGCACGCAAAATTTTAAAGCATGTCATGTTTGGTATCTATTTCCTTGGTATAACATCATCCTTTATATGTTATCAAACAATTGGGCAATATATTGCGTTTTTGTGCATTAAAATTCTAAAAAGTGTATTTTTCCCCAAAATATTTGCGTTTGAAAAATCGCTGCGCACATACTGTGTGACGTAAAAGTGTCATCACCCACTGTTTTATTCTCTGGGGCCTCTGCTTTAAAAAAAATATAAAATGTTTGGGGGTTCAAAATAATTTTATAGCAAAAAAAAGTTTTTTTTCATGTGAACAAAAAGTGTCAGAAAAGGCTTGGTATTCAATAGTAGGTGATGGGTAGCATACGCTTCTAATGTTGGCCCTGAAATGCCAGGATAGTAGAAGCAACCCCTCCAAATGACCCCTTTTTGGAAAGTAGACACCCCAAAGTATTAAGAGGCATGGAGAGTATAGCGCAGATCTCATTTGCTGCCACATGTTTTTGGAAAACGAAGAAAGAAAACAATTTGTTTTTTCTTTTTCAAAACCTTGTGACAAAAATGATATCTGTAAAATACTCACCATGCCTCTTATCAAATTCCTTGGGGTGTCTACTTTCCAAAAAGGGGTCATTTGGGGGAGGGGGGGTTTCTAAGATCCTGGCATTTTAGAGCCTCCGAAACTGACAGTTAGTGGGGAAGTGATATGAGGAAATATGCCCTTTGAAAGCCTAGAGGTGGTCATTGGATTTTGGGGGCCTGTATGTAGCTAGGCTGCCTAAAAGTCTCACATGTGGTATCCCCATACTCGGGAGATGTAGAAGAATGTGTTTTGTGGTGTTATTCTACATATACCCATTGCATACATGAGCAATACATTTAAGTGACAACTTTGTGTAGTAAAAAAAAAAATTGTCATTTTCTTTTTTTTTTTGTGGCAAAAAAAAAAAATTATATATATATATATATATATATATATATATATATACACACACACACACCATAGTTTGTAGATGCTATAACATTCACACAAACCAATTACTATACATGTATTGGGATTTTTATTTTTTTTTACCAAAGACTAACTTTGAGTTTATTGGATATTTTTTATAACCAAAAGTGCAAAATTTAGTTTTTGTTTTTTCAAAACAATCAAATACCACCAAAAGAAAGCTCTATTTGTGTGATAAAAGGACATAAATTTTGTTTGGGTACAGCATTGCATGACCATGCAATTACCAGTTGAAATAGCGCAGTGCAGAATAGCAAAAAATGGCCTGGTCATGAAGTGGAGTAAATCTTCTGGAGGGCAAATGGTTAAAAAGCGATTGCACCAAATACCACCAAAAGAAAGCTCTATTTGTGTGATAAAAGGACATAAATTTTGTTTGGGTACAGCATTGCATGACCATGCAATTACCAGTTGAAATAGCGCAGTGCAGAATAGCAAAAAATGGCCTGGTCATGAAGTGGAGTAAATCTTCTGGAGGGCAAATGGTTTAAAAAAGCGATTGCACCGCACATGGGAGGTATCGCTATGAACATCAGTGAGAGCGCAATAATTCTAGGGCCAGACCTCTTGTGTAACGCTAAACTGGTAGCCTGTAAAGGCTTTTAAAGCATCAGCTGTGGATAATTTAAAGTACCATAGTTTTGTTACTGTTCCAGGGGTGTGCGCAATTTTAAAGCATGACAAGCTTGGTATCTATTTACTCTGTGTAACATCATCTTTTATATTTAACAAACATCGGGTATTTTGTGTTCACTAAAATTCATTCGTTTTTTTTTTTTGTTTTTTTTTTAATTTGCGTTTGAAAAACCAATGCATTGCTACTGTGTGACATAAAAAATTGCAACACCCACCATTTTATTCTATAGGGTCTCTGCTTAAAAAATATATATGTTTGGTGGTTCTAAGTAATTTTCTAGCAAAAAATGAATGCAGATTTTTATATGTATGGCAGAATTGTCAGAATTGGCTTGGGAAATGGTTAAAATATCTACTCAAAATGAATATAGTATAGGGCAGATGTTAAAGTGACAACTTTCTGTATGTCTTCAAAGCTTCTCTTTGTATCTCAGAAGCGTTGAATCTCTTGCATCAATCTCACTCCTGCTGCATGTGTCTGGAGGCTTGTGTAACTGTAAATGTATAACAGTTGGAGGAAAAAAAGGAATGGTATTTTAGCTCACAGCAAATGGTTTGCATGTTTAATATTTCTAGGATGATGCAGCTGCTCTATGCTTCAGGTTTTATTTTTGCTCTAGTTTTTGCATATCTGTTCCAGTCTGTTAGATATGAATGGAAATGGCGGATCGAAAAATGCTTGTTCTCTTACTGTCATTTTCTACCAGTGCTTCAGATGAAGGCTGCATAGAAGTGGAGGATTCTCTGTTTACTCTTTCACAGTATTACATTCAAGCTAAAGTAGAATCTAGGAGTCATGGAACTTGATCTTCAGTTAACGCCAATATAGAGTGAAAATGACAGCAGCTCAAATTTTCAAAAACTTTCTGCCAAGCTGTTGGGATTTGTGAGGGATATGGAGGTGCTGAAATCTTTCTTGCATGTGCTGGCCCATCTCCTAAAACTTGACAATGGCAGCCTGCTTCACCTGGGAAGAGCTTGTAACTGTTCAGCTATTCAAATTTAAATTGTGCACAAAAAAGAAAGGGCTACTAATTTCAGGGCTTAAAAAAATAATTCCAATTTAATTTTTCCGCTGTAAAAGAGATGTCTTTTTTTTTTTTGTTTTTTTTAGGCTGAAGATGAGGAGACCAAAGAACGGTTGTTTGAATCTGTGCTGAGTGAGTGTAGAGATGCTATCCAGGGAGTGCGAGAGGAGCTTCGATCTGAGCAGGTGAGCCATGATGATTTTTTTTTTTTTTTTTTTTCATGATGAAACCAACTACTTTTTCGGATGAGCCTTAAGGTATGTGTTACCCTAAAATATTGTTTTTTTTTTCTGTGTTTATTTTATAAATCATAGTGTCTATCATTTTCATGTACTTCTATATGAAGTACCTTTTATTGATCCTTCCAGCCATCCTTCTTCCTTGTTTTAAACTTACCACATAAATAACAGGAGCTGATCTGTGCTTGCTTGGACAGTTTTCATCCTAGTTCGTTCAGCCACCATACATCATTACCAATCACAGCCTGTCTTCTTGAACACGTTCCCTCCTAAACCACAGCCTACAGGTCATCTCAGCTGGAACAGACTATGGAATACAGGCATACTGTGTGTCTGCACAGTGTCCTGTGTCCCTGTCCCCCCTTCCCACTATCAGGTGCATGGTCACATGACAGAACTTTTTAACTTTTAAGAGGTAAGAAATATAATTCCTGAAACTAAGCAAAACCAGGTATGGTACCTGCATAACATTCTGAGTTAATAACTACTTAAAAATAATGGCATTGTTTAAAGCGGAAATAAAGTTTAAAAAAAAAGCTAAAACATTTTTACAGGAAGGACATAAATTGACTGCCTGTTTTCAGTCTTCTGTAGAATGTACACTGAGCTGCGCATTTGCCCCTCAGGTTAAGTTTCCGACATGGTACCCATGTGCTGGAATGAATGACCATGTACATTCACAGGGGTGCCATGCCGGCAAATCAAGGCCATAGACTGGCACTTGGCAGAAGCCAGGAAAATGTTTCCGGCACAGGTGGGCCACCTCGCAGTTGTTGGCCCCTTACAGTAGAGGTATGCATTTCTGACTTTAGTTCTGCTTTAAGGGCCAGTTCACACTACGTGCATTTCAGTGTGCTTTTATTCTGCATTCAAAACGCACAGAAAGTAAGTTAGGTTATATGGTTTTCAATGTCATAGTTCACATCAGTGCTTGCAGTTCCAGTGCATTCTGGTTGCAGAAAAAAAAACTGGCTGCATTTTTCATGCACAGAACTGTACTGGAACTCAGTGAAATGCACTAGAACACACATGGGCCTCTTTAAATTGAATAAAGAGAGGGGAGAAAATGCACCGGAACGTGTCAAAAACACACCAAAAAACACGTCAAGAGCTTATGTGGAAACGCTTCCGGAACATATCTGGACTGCGTTTCTATGGTGTGAACTGCTCTATTATGATAGAATTGTACTTTGTTAGACTTTCCAGTATATGTTTGATTGCAACAAAAAATCCTTTGGAAACATAAGTGCATTTACTGTATGTATTATTAAATCCAACATATTGCTTTTATTGTGTAACAAATATAAGAAGCGCCGCAGAAAATAACAAGATAAATAAAATAATAAGCAGCACCTCTAACCAAAAAAAGGTGAAATTGTGTATATATAAAGAGTGCTCTAACTATTCACAAAGAATTCAAGGATAAATGATAAAAATAACAAATAAAATCCATAAATATAAACATAAGTCAAGCCACCTAAACAGTGATAATCCAGTATCAACTTAATGTCAATCTTGAAACAACACTCATGTGCGAATCCGACACCAGATGAAATGAATACACTCACCAGAGCTATATGCTGATTAAATTATAAACCAGCTTGATAGCATTTTGCTGTGGGAGCGATGATCTGCAGGATATCCCAGTAGAGGAACAGCAACCAATAGTGATCCAATCGGCACATATGGAACAGCTAAGCAGCAAAATGGTCTTCCAATAACATGGGCAAAGCTCGAGGAATCAGAAAAGATATGATGGTGCAGTACGTTTAAAACCAGTAAAATTTTATTAGTAAAGTATAACACTCACAAGGAAGGTGTCTACCCGACACCAGCAATGACAGCCTCTATAATAACACATCCATGAGGGAAAAAACCAGGGGACGAACCTCCTGCACCGCGATCTCACAGCTGTGAGCTCTGGTGAGTGTATTCATTTCATCTGGTGTCGGATTCGCACATGGGTGTTTTGCTTCAAGATTGACATTAAGTTGATACTGGATTATCACTGTTTATGGTGGCTGGACTTCTATTTATATTTATTGATTTTATTTGTTATTTTTATTATTTATCCTTGTATTACTATTATTATACAGGCTTTATATATCGCCAACAGTTTGCTCAGCGCTTTACAATATAAGGGAGACAATACAATTACAATACATTTCAGTACAGAAGGAATGTGAGGGCCCTGCTCCTGGGAGCTTACAATCTACAGGAGGGAGAGGTGATACAAAAGGTGATAGCTGCGGGGGATGATCTGGTGGAGGTGATTCAAGTACAGTTCTTAGGTGGAGGTGGGGTAGGCTTCCCTGAAGAAGTGAGGAATGTATGGGAACGTATGGGAATTATTGTTCATTAAACTGAAAGAGAATGTTTGTTATCTGTGTTGCTGCATTACTCAACATTGAGTAACAGATCACTGTACCTATGCGACTTGATAGGTAATTTACAGTAAACAGTGTGTTCACTGTGCATGGACATTGTATTCTTTTGCAGAGACACAGAGATGCTGTCATTGATGGTGAAACTGGCAAAGTGTCTAACCTACAGTACTTGCACAGGTAAATATTCTGTGTTTTTCTCTGTTGGGGGACGCAGAAGAATTTAGTTTTTGTTGGTCAAAAAAAGGTTGACTGTGACTTTTCCCCTCCCTTTCAGGAATTGGCTTTGGTCATAGTGTAAATATTCTGCAGTTATACTTTTTTGTGTTTGTTTATTCAGTTTTGAAAATTTCCTGTCTGCCCACCTTCTGCAGCGACATGCCAGAGATATTTGGAATTGCATTGCGTCAGAAAATGTTATTCTAGGTCTCTCCTATTGTGTTTCAAACATTAGGAACCCGACTGAAGTTTGAAGCCATCCAGTGCATGTATTTGCTTAAAATGATTAGCCTGAACATCTTTGAAAGGGACGGGTGAAATCACCTAGTACCTATTACTGCAGGAAATTCTTGAATCGCAAGAGTTTGCTATGAAGTTTTTATTTATGACGTGCCCTTATGCAGCTGAATCACTATCATCCTTAATAATTTCCTCCTATAATAGTGCCAAAACAATGAGGGGCATAATTGGTGGTTTAACAAACAATTCAGCTTCTAAACAATTGTGTGTCTTTGTAGCTATCTATCCTACATCAAGCTGTCCACAGCCATCCATCGTAATGAGAGCATGGCAAGCGCTCTTCAAAAGGCCCTACTCCGCCAGCCACAGGCTGAAGAAGATGGCAAAAGGAACCCACGACCACAGGACCTTATCAGACTTTATGATATTATCTTGCAGGTGAGAGAGCTGAGCTGTTGCTGCACTCATAGCAAAATCGCATTGCCTTCATAATAGCTGTCATTACTTTCTTTAGTAATGGTCCTGTGGATGCAACACAATGATGTGTAATAATAGTGACATTTTTCACTTTTTGTGCTATTCCAATCTATTTTATTTACACTAGTTATGAAATGGACATCTAGATTTTGCAGTAGCAGAGTTCAGCAGTGGCATCCTATAAACTTTCTTGCAGTTTCTGTTGAATGCATACCATTAACAGAGTCCTGCTACTTTCCACAACATCGCAATGAGGAGGATATTGAGGAGTACCAAATGCAAATCATTTATCACCAGTACCCTCTCCAAAGTGTATCATCTGCTTAGTGTCCTTTTTTGTTGCAAGCACACAGGTAGCAGCCTAGAACCAGAAGAAGATCCACCTACACCATACCTTCATTATGTATCACCTGCTTTGAAGGAAGATGCACCTGTATTGTATATCGGGTCTGGTGCTATCACATCAAGTGACATTGTACTAGTTACATAGTCTGACTGAAAGACAAAAATCCATAAAGTTCAACCATTAAAAAAACAAAGTTCTAATCCTATACCCACAGTTGATCCAGAGGAAGGCAAAAAGAGGTACTGATGCAACCAGTGCTGGCCTGTGGCCTAGGAAGGCAGAGCTTTCAAGGGTGGCACATATCCCATCTACACAATGTTACTATTACTTATTTAAAGCAGAACTAAAGTCTGGAATACCTACCTCTGGTCCAAAGGTATCCTTAGTTAGAAGCACATATACCAAAGGTGTGCCTGGAGGGAGGCCACTCCTCCTTAAAGGCACAGTGGATGTACGTGATGTCCAGCAAGAGCACAGTGGCAGCTAAAAGCATCCAGTGCGTCCCCGCGCCCAATTCAACACACTGTACAAAAAAGTGGTAACCAACCCAACTTATAAAAGTAGCCTTTGCAGTAAGGGGCACATTGAAGGACAACACATGTCACAAACAAAAAAATACAGATTAATGCACATGTGTGTACATTTACAAGGGCAAAAAATTGAAATGAGTAGTAAAAGGAGTATAAAGCAAACCAAATAGAACAAAAAAACCAAGGTATTGATTGTAAAACTGTTACAGGCTGAAAATCATAACGTGGATGCGTGCTTTCAGATGCATTACGTTGTATTGTCCTTGAACCAGGTTTGTGGCATATTTGATATTCAGTCTCTGAGAAGGAAATGCATATAAATTGGCCATAAAACTAATTGAAAAACTGTAAGCCAGCTTCTTACCCTGCTTCTTCCAACACAGAATCTTGCTGAGCTGACCCAGTTGACCGGTATGGAGGATGACCAAAATTTCCAGAAGGAGATTGCACTAAAGACTCTGGTGTACAAAGCATACAGGTTAGAATGAATTATTTCGTTTCCGTAAGTCCTAATGTTACATGCTCTGTATGCTCTCAGTGGATCATGTATTGCATTCAAAGCCATGTACATGTCCCTTCTAGACAATAGTCTAAGTAATTAAGAATCTTCAGTCGATAAATTGGAGATGTGTTCTCTTTGAATACCCAGTTATGTGCAGAAATTAAAGAATTTGCTTTGTACATGATTGAATACTTGAAGTGAATCTTCATTTAATGTGAGTGAAGATTCTCAAATCCTTTAATAAATCATAACTCAATGCTGATTTTTTTTTTTTTTTTTTTTTCAGGTGCTTCTTTATTGCTCAGTCCTATGTTCTAGTGAAGAAGTGGAGTGAAGCCCTAGTTCTCTATGATCGGGTGCTGAAGTATGCAAAAGAAGTCCGAGCTGGTTCATCTAAGGGCAGTCTGAAGGTACCTGCTTATCTTATCTAGCATTTTATCTATATCCATATGCTGGCAGGGGTAGTTTTTCTGCTGCAACTAGAAACTTTTGTACTTCAAGATGACAGTAATGCTAAAGGTGATATCATAGATGTCTAGCTGCTCAGCTCGCACAAATATCTTCTGACTTCTAAAGCCCAATTGAACCTTCAGTATACATTAAGCTAAATACAGTACAGGTACATAAAGTGTTTTTACTAAAGCCCTGTACACACGTGCCTAATATCGTCCTTTTCAATAGGAAACCGGTCAACATTCAGCCCGTGTGTACACCCACATCCAATCAATGCTGGCAGCCAATAGCTGCTAGCGCTGACCGTTGTGTTCTGGCGATCCCCTTGTCAGAATACAGAAGGCCAGCAGGGAGATCACTGTACTAACATTTGCATAGTTAGTACATCAAGCTCCCCCCGAGCTCTTCAGTTTTTTTTTTTTTTTTTGTTTTTTTTCCGTTCAGCCCTCTGGATTTAAGGATAAAAAAATGGTGTGTAGCCAGCTTTTAAAGCAGTCAATGCCTGAGTGGAACTTTTTCTGCCATTGCAGAGGTCTGACACCCCCTTCAGACCTTTTAGCTCTGCAGTTGGCAAAGTTCATACTGCTTGCTGATTGGAGAGCTTTGTCTCAGCAGGGTCCATGTTGACCTCTGCACAAAGATTGCTGCTTTCCCATGGGTAGCAAGGGTCCTGTTTTGCAGCGGGTTGGCAGGGAATAGGCTTTTCTATAAAAGCTGTGGCTATTATTATTTTTTTTTTTTTTTCTCAAGAAAACAGACTTTAACACTTTGTACAGCTCTTTGTTTTGATGCATTTGGAATATATTTAGCTGATTTTAAACTGAAAGTTAATTTGGGCTTTAAGGAATTAACTTGCAAGTTTACTCAGACCTTGGGGTGATATTTGTGAAATAACTATTGAGTCTCACCAAATAGAAAATGTATAGCTATCATTCATGGGTCTGTTTTTTCCACAGTCCATCACATTAGATTGTGTGAAGGAATGAAGTCTACTTGCCAAGATTGAGCCCAAGTTTCTTGTGGTTATTCTGTAATCTGATCAATATGGTCAGTTAGTACAGTGCCTTGAAAAAGTATTCATACCTGTGGTGGTTTATGTAAGGATATATTTTACTTATAAAGGGCGTGTCCCTTTCCCTTAGATGAAATATTACAGTGCCTCCAGCCGTTAAAATACGGCAAATATTTTTAGTAAACCAATAATTTGGACACCTTGATAATTTGATCACCACTTATTATACCTTGAATTCTTTTAGCCAATATGATTTCGTACCATACACACACAATTTGCCTTATAATAGATAAATATAAAAATTTATTTATGTACAAAAATTATATATATATTAACACAAAACGCAAAAGACTGGTGATAGATGAATATTGATACACACAATCAAAGATATATCCTACCAATGTAATACACAATACTAATGTTTCCAAATAATTAAATCAATATCACAATTTCTAAATGATCTGATTAAAAATTAAATTTATTAATAACTAATAATTTCGAGTATCTCAAAGGTTATATTCTCACAAGCCGTGGCCATAGGATTGTAAGAAGCTATTCCTTGATAAATTATACTCTGATTATTAATATTTAATAAATTATGAAATATGGAAAAAAAAATTATAATATGGCACCAAACAATTTTGACAGTAAAACAGGATCTCTCTACATATATATATCTACCCAATATTGTTGTGATACACTAAGGTAATTCTATGATTCCACACAACAGAGAAAATAGGTAATGCAAAGTCAAATAAACAGTCTCACCGCACCCGGCCTTCAGACTAGGAAACTCTCCCGTGGATTTAGCTGGCAATGGAACGCCTTCAGAATGATGACCCACGGGATAAAATGAGATAGAGTTCAATAGTGTGGGAGAATGTAGGAAGTTAGAAGGACAGAGGTTTAGCAATTTAGTAAAGTTTGGAAGTTTGAAAGGATGGAAGAGGGGTTATAGAGAGGTCTCTTCAGATGTCTTCAGAATCAGGTCTTCAGTCAGGCTTTCTTTCTTTTGATCAGTTTTCTTTTGATGAGTTTTTTTTTTTCTTAAAGGTGCATGGGCTTTTATATCCACTAATCCATTGTTCTAAGATACCTTCCCACCAGGCTTCTTGATTGGCTAGTTGAGAAATGTGTGTACATAAGCTATTTCTCACCTGCCCGCCAGATGGCAGTCATGTATCATAGAACAATTTGAGTATTTGAGATGACTCATACCTCGGGTGGAATTTTAAGGTAATTTCATGGATTAAATATATGGCTTTTTCCAGATATAGAAGTGATCATACCTATAATATCCTAAATAGGGACCATGGAATATAGATGTGTATATTCAGGTATTCCTTCTTGAAATACCATCCTGTCTGTTTCCTGATAAGACATGTAACTAATGCTAGTTTATAATACATCTTACTTTTATCATCTCAATACTCAAGTTAGTGATATATAGTTCCCATTGCTGAATATTTGGTGGTGTGTAAAACCTATTCTTTATAACATCTCATTTATAATATGTTTTTGGTATACCTCTGTGGATGGATACATTCAATTCTTAACCTTGTGTTCTGAATTTTGTTTTAGAATCACATTTTCTATGTGTAGGGAACAACTCTCTGTTTGCCTGGCTCTTGTATTGGAGTCACAGTAAACAACTGTTAATACTTTCACCCTTGGTGGACAATAGCATATTGTGATAGTTTGAGAGTTCTGTTGGTTTATCACACTCTGCAAGGTTTGGGTAAGCTCTCAGACAATCAGTTTGGTTCCTCTATTGTCATGTCCAGACCTTGTATATGTTTACCTGCTATAGAAGTCTGAATAATGGTGTTTGACCACCTGTAGAACTTCAAATAGTATATTTGTCTCTAGGAGGAAAAAAAAAAATCCTTTCACCCATCGTTAACATTTCTCTAGCTAAATGGTCATTCGACTTTCCAACCAAGACAAATTAACCCTTAACATCCGGCTATGCTGACTTGATGTTATATAGGATTATGTCTTGATAAATCATGTTTTTGAGACATAATTCAAAAGGTCCACAACATACCCCTTGACATTTTCCACATTTTGTTATATTACAACCAAAAACGTAAATTATTTTTTGGGGATTTTATGTGATAGACCAACACAAAGTGGCACGTACTTATGAAGTGGAAGGAAAATGATAAATGGTTTTCAAAATTTTTTTACAAATAAATATCTGAAAAGTGTGGCATGCATTTGTATTCAGCCCCCCTTTACTCTGATACCCCTAACTAAAATCTAGTGGAACCAATTGCCTTCAGAAGTCACCCAATTAGTAAATAGAGTCCACCTGTGTGTAATTTATTCTCAGTATAAATACAGCTGTTCTGTGAAGCCCTCAGAGAATATTAGTGAACGAAAAGTATCATGAAGGCCAAGGAACACACCAGACAAGGGAGTATGGCACAACTGCAAACCTGCCAAGACATGGCCGTCCACCTAAACTGACAGGCCGGGCAAAGTGATCATTGATCAGAGAAGCAGCCAAGAGGCCCATGGTAACTCTGGAGGAGCTGCAGAGATCCACAGCTCAGGTGGGAGAATCTGTCAACAGGACAACTATCAGTCATGCACTCCACAAATCTTTTATGGAAGAATGGCAAGAAGAAAGCCATTGTTGAAAGAAAGCCATAAGAAGTCCCATTTGCAATTCACAAGATGCCATGTGGGGGACACAGCAAACATGTGGAAGAAGGTGCCCTGGTCAGATGAGACCAAAATTTAACTTTTTGGCCTAAAAGCAAAACGCTATGTGTGGCGGAAAACTAAACACTGCACATCACCCTGAACACACCATCCCCACTGTGAAACATGGTGGTGGCAGCATCATGTTGTGGGGATGCCTTTCTTCAGCAGGGACAGGGAAGCTGGTCAGAATTGATGGGAAGATTGATGGAGCCAAATACAGGGCTATCTTAGAAGAAAACCTGTTAGTCTGCAAAAGAGTTGAGACTGGGGCGGAGGTTCACCTTCCAGCAGGACAACGACCCTAAACATACAGCCAGAGCTACAATGGAATGGTTTAGATCAAAGCATATTCATGTTTTAGAATGTCCCAGTCAAAGTCCAGACCTAAATCCAATTGAGAATCTGTGGCAAGACTTGAAAATTGCTGTTCACAGATGCTCTCCATCCAATCTGACAGAGCTTGAGCTAAGAAGAATGGGCAAAAATGTAATTCTATAGATGTGCAAAGCTGGTAAAGACATCCCCAAACAGACTTGCAGCTGTAATTGCAGTGAAAGGTGGTTTGACTCAGGGGGGCTGAATACAAATGCACACCACACTTTTCAGATATTTATTTGTAAAAACTGTTGAAAACCATTTATCATTTTTCTTCCACTTCACAATTATTGCCACTTTACATAGTTTGGCTGAAAAGTCCATCCAGTTCAACCATTAAAAAAAAAAGTTATAATCCTACACCCACAGTTGATCCAGAGGAAGGCAAAAAAAACACAGCCGAGCATGATCCAATTTGCTTCTTCAGGGGAAAAATTCCTTCCTGATCCCCCAAGAGGCAATCGGATATTCCCTGGAACAACTTTACCTATAAATATTAGTATCCAGTTATATTCTGTGTATCTAAGACAGAATCCAGGACTTTTTTAAAGCAATCCACTGAGCTGGCCAGAACCAACTCTTGAGGGAGTCTATTCCACATTTTCACAGCTCTCACTGTGAAGAAACCTTTCCGTGTTTGGAGATTACATTTCTTTTCCTCCAGACGTAAAGAGTGCCCCCTTGTCCTCTGTGATGATCTCGGGGTGAATAACTCTACACCGAGTTCACTATATGAACCACTGATGTATTTATACATGTTGATGATATTTCCCCTTAATCTCCTCTTCTCAAGAGAGAATAAATTCAGTTCCTCTAATCTTTCCTCATAGCTGAGCTCCTCCATGCCTCTTATCAGTTTGGTTGCCCTTCTCTGTACTTTCTCCAGTTCCCCAATGTTCTTTTTGTGAATTGGTGCCCAAAACTGAACTGCATATTCCAGATGAGGTGTTACTAATGATTTGTACCGGAGTAATATGATATCTCTCTCTCTGGAGTCTATACCTCTTTTAATACAAGAGAGGATTTTGCTCGCTTTAGAAACCGCAGCTTGGCATTGCATGCCATTATTAAGCTTGTGATCTACCAGAACTCCCAGATCCTTCTCCACCATTGATTCCCCAGTTGTACCCCCCCTAGTATGTATGATGTATGCATATTCTTAGCCCCCAAGTGCAGAACCTTACATTTATCAGCATTAAACCTCATTTGCCACATAGTTGCCCAATTAAACAGTGCATTGAGGTCGGCTTGTAAGTTGGAGACATCCTTTGCCTGTCTTTATCTGGCCCTTGGGGCACTAGCTCTTCCGCAGACACAAATGATGCTGCACCATTTCTTCCACTGACACCTATCATGGGGCGCTATTCCCTCCACTGATACCAACAATCAGGCACTAGTCCTCTCACTAAAACCAATGGTCATTGTTTGCACTCACTGATGTTGGGGCATTTTCTACTACCAAAAGCCTGAAGGACAGTAAACTGGCCCTTTGTTTGGAAAGTTTGGAGACCCTTGGTCTATCACATAAAATCCCAATAAAATACATTTACGTTTTTGGTTGTAATATGACAAAATGTGGAAAATTTCAAGGCGTATGAATACTTTTTCAAGGTACTGTATTCCAGTACATGGTGTCTAAACTGAACCTTTCATTATCTGGTTCATATTACTGAAAGCCTAAATGGCTGTGCTTAACATTTGTTGTCCTTGGTATGTTAAAATATGGTTGCAAAAAAGCATGTGATTTGAATGTGTGCTGTACTTGATTAACCCAGTTGATTTTTCTTTTTTGTTTTCTCTCTAGGATTTACCTGATGTGCAGGAACTCATCAAACAGGTGAATGCAGAGAAGTACTCCATGCAGGCTGCTGCCATACTTGGTGAGTACAAGAACAGGTGTTTATCAGAGGTTTACTTTCTAGGACTGTGAAAGTTCCAGGTCTTTAGTTGAGTGATCTGACATTTGCTTGTATTTTTCCTGCTGTTTGCATCCAACTATGAATAGTGTGCCAACATGAACCATGGCTATAGCAACCAGAATTATTTTGTTTTTCAACTCTGCACTGCAAAAGGGATGTTTGGAAGTTGACTGGTTATTGTAGACAAGAAAAGTTCCTATGAGCATACTTTTTGAACATAAACCCTGTTGTGTGTTAAGTACAGCAAATATTCCTAATATAACGTTGTTGAGGATGTTTGGCAGTTCAAAAATGTTTACTTAAGAGTACCTTGTTAGCCGCAAGTACCGTGCTGTCATTTACTGCTGGAGGTATACCAGCCACATCTTTAGTGTATTCTGGCTCAGAAAGATGAAAACATCCAGCAACGGGGAAAGGCTTATCAAGTTATTTTAAATCTGCATTTCTATATCATACATCCCAGGACACGGGGTATCTTCAGATCCATGACGATTGGGTTATGCTTCCACCTTTAGGCGACTGGACACTGGCAGAAAAAGGCTTAATTTGTTTTTTTTGGGGTTTTTTTTTTTTTTTTTTTTTTTTTTTGTGGGTTTTCTTTTTTCTAGTTCTTTTTCTGTCCCAAGCCTCAGACGCTGGGAGACGAGGCTCTTCATACCTTGGATGCGATTGGCTCCATTAGGTATTACCTTAGGTCAATTACTGCAGTTTGTCAGTCTGATTCCCTCTTTGTGTGGCTTGAGGGCCCAAGGAAGAGTCATGCAGTTTCTAAGCCATTTCTCAGTGGATTTGTCCGCTTATTTCTCAAGCTTATGATCTAAGTGGCAAAGTTACTGTTTTCGCTGACAGCTCATTTTACTAGGAGAGTTGGTGCTTTTTGGGCTATTCATCATCAGGCATCGGTGGCTTAAGTTTGTAAAGCTGCTACCTGCTTTTCAGTTCATACTTTTAAAAAGCTTTACCAAATGAATGTTCAAGCCGCTGAGGAATGCAACCTTTGGTTGGCAAGTCTTGCAAGCTGCTACTTGAGGTTCAAACCTGGTTTGGTTGTTTGGGGCCTGCTGGCTTGTTGCTGTGTTGCTCTTCAGTGATGTGGGTCATCCCTATCATCATGGATATGAAGATATCCTGTGTCCTGGGATGTACGATGAATGTTTACCTGTAAAATCCTTTTCTTGGAGTACATTACAGGACACAGGGTCCCACCCCTCTTCTGGTGGTCTGTGGTTTATGACTTGCTACAAAAACTGAAACTTTGCCTAGCTAAGAGGGGTTGTGCTTAGGAGAGGATTTCCTGTCTTTTTTGCCAATGTTTAATCACCAGAATGTGGCAGCATAACCGTATCATCATGGATATGAAGATGTCCTGTGATGTACTCAAAGAAAAAGATTTTACAGGTAAACCAGGTTGACACAGCTGTGTCCTAATTCCATGATTGTTAATAGAATAGGCAGTCACTTGTCACTCCCTTATTCCCTAGCTAGGACAAGAAGACTAATAGGTTTTGCTTCACTTTTGTGTTAGACTCCACCGACATCACAGAAGAGGTCTCTCCCTCTCAGACAAAAGACAACAAGGTAATTTGAATGTCAGTGGGTAATACCAGAACGTTGGGGGCTAGTAAACCCATTGTGGAGGATATTGAGTGGAACACATTTTGCCCCTGCAGAGGTCCCGAATTTTATTCAGAAAATTTCTTTAGCAACACATCTTCTCATGTTTCTGCAAAATGTACAACAGATTTTTAATCAAAGTGATTGTAAAGCTTTGTTTTTTTTTATTTCAATGTTTTTTTATTCATTTTAACCAGTATAAAACAGAGGCAACAAAACACGCCCACGCAGGGGCTATCAACTGCACATATAAAAAATAAAAAAAAATACAAAAAAACAGTGCTCTAACGCCAACAGAGCAAAAGGTGTGCCCACGCAGGGGCTATCAATGGCACATAAATTACAAGAACATTAGTATAACTCCTGACTGTAACTCAAACTAAAAGCAGCTATCCACTGCCACACCAAAAACAAACAGAAAAGAAAGTAGGAGTACAAAGAAAAAAAATGTATAACAAAACCAAAGAGCAGGGGTCAAAGAGCGCTTTTTTTTTTTTTTTTTTTTCCTTTGCTTTTTTTTAACCACTTGCCCTCCTGAGGACTTACCCCCATTCCTGACCAGGCCATTGCACGGTCATACAACGCTGTACCCAAATAAAATTTGTCTCTTTTACCCACAAATAGAGCTTTATTTTGGTGGTATTTGATCACCTGTACGTTTTTTATTTTTTGCGATATATAAAAAAAAACAACCTACGATTTTGAGAAAAAAAAAAACAATATTTTTGACATTTTGCCATTAAACATGTCCAGTAAAAAAATTTAAAAAGTCAAATTTCATCATAAATTTAGGCCAAAATGTATTCTGCGGCATGTCTTTGCTAGAAAAAATAAAAAAAAAAAAAAAAAATCCCAATACGTGTAAATGAATTGGTTTACGTGCAAGTTCTAGCGTTTACAAATGGCAGTATAGATACTGGAATTTTTTTACTAGTAATGGCAGCGATCAGTAATATTTTAATGGGACTGCGGCAGTCATTCTGACACTGGGGGGGACTGACTTGGTGTCACTGACATTCCCAGTGACACCAATACAGTGATTAGTGCTATAAACAAAAGCACTGACATTGTACTAATGACACTGGGCAGGAAGGGGTTAACATGAGGGGCGGTCAAAGGGTTAATTGTGTGCTGGGAGTGTTTTACTAGGGGGCTGTCAGTGTGCTTCACTGTAAGCACACTGCTTTGGATGGCTGTGCTGTGTAACGCCCCTAGGAGCAGTGTTAACATCCAGTGTGCATGAAGGCTAACACCTACACAGCAAAAAAAAAAAAAAAACTGACAGATTTTAACCTTTTAATACTCTATGCAAAACAAAAAAAAGTTTAGAACTTTAGATAGATGAAATTTTAAAAATTGGCTAATGAAAGAGATCTAATAGTTTGTACATTTGTGCATTAAATTGCCGCTGGTTTTTGTTTTCATCTTGTTCCTCACCTCTGATCCCTTACAGCCTCTCTCAGACCGTCTGGATAACTTCTGCTTTGACTCCTCTCTGGTGACCAAACACGCCCGTCTGGTGCAGTTCCCTCCAGACTTCCATCCAGTCCCTTGTAAACCTCTGTTCTTTGACTTGGCCTTAAACCATGTAACGCTGCCTTCTCTGGAGGACAAGCTGGAGCAGAAGGCAAAGAGTGGATTGACAGGATACATCAAAGGCATCTTTGGCTTCCGAAGTTAATAGGCGGCTAATAAAGAATTGCCGGTCGATACTGCTCAACATGAAGAATTGCCGGTTGATGCTGCTCTACATCATGTTCTCTATCATGTTGCTCCCATTTTCCACAGACTGTGCAGTGATGCATTTTGAGCTAGTATTACCACCATTCACTTCTATATAGATCAATAAATTCTTTAATTTATTGGGAGAAAATGATCCCCATTTATTTACCCTCACTGGGAAAGTGACCAGTTTCTTTTTTGCAGTGTTTTGGCAGATCTGTACATGGGGCAGTTGGGACCTCCATAATGGTTTTATGTTGTATCCGAGGTGAATACAGTCCCATAAATTCAAAGCAAAATTAGCATTTTAGTTCATCTCCAGCAAATTTGTGGAGGCTTTTACTGATTTTTTTCCCATGTGTAACATGAAATTTATTATTAAGGCTTTTCACCCATCTGTTGCATGAAAGGGATTAAAGTGGACCTAAACTCAAAATGTTAACTCCAGCCTATGTTTACAGTCTTCCTAGCATAAAAAAATATGCTGAAATGCTTACCTTTCCTAGAGAAAAATGCTGCTGCAGAAACTCTGAAGCCCCGGACAGATGGCTAAAAGCCAAGACCTAAGGTCACTTAATCCCCGCAAAAGGGAGATGATTAACCAGTTTCTACCCCAATCTTCCTCTTCTGCATAGATCACATATATCCATTTCAGCAGGTTGACAACATAGCTTTATGTCACCATTAAAGCAGAGGCCCACATTAATCCCTTTCTTATCTGTACAAGCAAACAACCTTCAAATTTTTATTTTTATTTTTTGGAATTTTTGAAAAAATAAAACGCATTTGTTTGGGGACCTGAGTTGTGTTGTACATTCAGTTCCTTTTTTTCCCCAAAAATAGAATTCATTATTATGTACTTATAAATTATAGAATGCATTTAAAAATAACTATGGCTGACTTGTCTCAAACAGGTTGATCCCTGTATAGCCATAGCTTTCCCAACCTAGTCCATTATTCTTTTCCTAACAAAGTAACTATAACTGTTATGTATACATAACCAAGTTCACTAGACAGATTACTATGCAGTATAATAAAGGAGTCCTGACAGTATTGTATACATACTGGAAACTATCTCAATGTGCAATATACTGCCCTTTGCTTTGGCGAATACAAATTGCCATTTTAAGACACATTATGCAGGCATGTTGCTATTAAAAACACACTGTGATGCAGAAAAGGATGGAAAATGCACTTTACCTTCTGTTTTCACTATGAACCGCATGTGAATTGCACAGGAACTGCACTGAATTCCTGTGCAAATGAGTGCGGTGGGATTTGAGACCATTCATTTTGAATGGTCGGAGGTTGCACTGCATTACACCAAAGATGTTCATGTACTTTTTTTGTACCAAATGAAGGAAGACCCCCATACACCTGCCAACATTCCTATTTAAGGAATATGCAAAAATAGATTCCCCCTTGTAGATGGGACTTTCAAGGCAGAAACACCATATATTAAAAGTATAATACTCTTTATTCCATTATCACAAAGATGATTATATAAAAAATTTGTTTTATAATATATTTTCGTACAGAATCATAATACAAAACAATTTTTTTCAAGATTTTACATGTTTACAAAGATCCAAGGATCAATTCTGACACGTTTCAGAGACTATGGCATCTCCTTCAGGGGCGAATCTATTTGTACATGTACCTTTTTTGGAGTCGCACCACAGCCATATTGAATGGTCACTTTATACCATGTGATGTGATCCGATGCAAGCAAACGTATGTCTGTGATCTGCGTTTGGGGTGTTAACTTTGTATTGATCCTCACAGCATATTGCAAGGGCTGTGCGATGGGAATATGGTGCAGTTATCGTGTGTTTGCCCACACAGCATTAGTATGAACCTAGGCTAAAGTACTTTGGATTAGCAAAACAGCCAGACGATTCACATTTTTCAGAAGTATCTCGTAATAGGCTTCCTTTAACCCCTTCCTGATGTCGCCTCCCGGCCTTATAACAACTTATATTAATGCTGGGAGGTGGGGATTCCGATCATGTGACTGTTGTGATTAGCAGTCACAGTGGTCACATGATCCTGAAGTATGAGTTCCAGTACTCGTTTGTTACTATGTTGGGAGCACTGTCTTAGTGCATTCCTTGCATATGCATCCCTAAGGAAAAAAAATGTTCATTTTATTGGGAGTGCTGATTGCCATTTTAACCCCTTACCGCCCTGCAATGTACTGCGGCTGGGCGATGGTTACAGGCGAAGCGTGGTACGGGTACGTCGCTCTGGCTACTAACATGGGGGGCACTGCTCCCCACCCGTGACTGCTGTGTCCACCTAACACAGCAGAATCAAGATCCCAATGATCATTTGATTGTTAGGCGATCACATGATCATAATGTTAGCAAAGCTGTTATGAATCAATCTGATTCATAGCAGCTCTGCTTCTCTGGCCCACAGCTCTCACATGGTACATGTACCCATGAGATCAGTTCTAGCCAATCAAAGATTACTATGATATTGAACTGTCATGAACCTAATTCATTCATAACAGTTCAAAGCAAGCCTTGCATTGCAGGAGCAGTATTTATTGCAAAGCAAAGTGTAAAGAAAAAAAATCCCTGATCACCCCCCTCCCCCACAGAGTAGTACAATGTTACAGTATTAAAACAAAAATTATAATACAAGAATGTAAAAATAAAGTACTGTATTGAGAATGTTTTTTTTAACTACTTGCCAACCTGCTGCACCCTCTGATCGGTCCAGGGAGAGAAGAGAGAACACTGCACTGAGTAAAAGCACTACATTTTACACACACACACACATTTAGATTAACAGATTTAACCCTTTGATCGCCCCTTATTAACACTTTGATCGCCCTGTCACCCAGCCAGTGCCATTAGTACGGTGTCAGTATATAGAATTTTTCACTGATCACTGTATTCCTGCCACTAGCGACATAAGATAATGTCAGGGACTGTAAGCTCCCCTCCTAGCCAGGGTCAGCTAGCGATCAATCGTCCGCACACTATCGCACTCGTGCTATAAGTTGCTGATCACCCCCATTATTAGTATAGTGTTTGGATCAATATAATGATCATGAACAGAACTATAGTAGTTCTGCCTTTGTATAGTGTCCCCAAAAACGCAGAGTTAGCAGGATCAGCCCTGTTCGCTGCCAGCACTAGTGTTTAGCCCCTCCGCTGGTTTTTCACGGATGATTTGTACCAATTGATTGTGGGCCAAAGCAATTTATACGCACAACAATACATGGTCAACCAAATTCAGCTCTTGCTAGACAATCTGCATGGAAATCTATCAAGGTTTCTGAATTTAAAACTTTTATGGGCCTAACCCTCAACATGGGCATTACAAAAAATAATGAATTGCGGTCATATTGGTCCCCAGAGCCGATTCATCATATGCCCGTGTTCTCTGCTGTACATACTGAAGCTACAGGCATCATCCTGGTATCGTTTTTTTTTTTTTTTCAGCTGGCGCTCGGCTTTCATTTAATAGCAATTCTAGTGGCTAACTGGCTGCTGAATTGTTTTACAAGCAGCGGGAAGGGACATTCTACTCCACCCCACCCGTCTTCCACAGTTTTCTTGGGCTCTCCCATCCCACAGGGGAATCCGGGAATGCAGCCGGGAGTTCCATCGGCTGGCCATAGAGCTGATCGGAGACCAGAATGGCTCCAATCATCTCTATAATCTACGAAACCGGAAGCTATGAGCATTTCATCATTTCCATTTCACCTAATATTGATCAGATGCTTTAAGGGTAAAGGAGAGATCTAGAGTCTAATAGACCCCAGATTTCCCAAAAAAGAGTACTTGCCATTGCCTATTGCTATCATGGCATATTTACATTCCCTGTGATAACAATATAAGTGATTAAAAAAAGAAATAGGGACCCCCGCCCCTTCCTGTGGTCAAAAGCGAATGCAAGTGTCGGTCCTGTGTCAGTATGTAAACTTGGAGATTACACCATGCATGTGAGGTATCACTGCGAACGTCAGATTGAGGGTAGTAATTCTAGCACTAGACCTCCTGTGTAAATATAAAGTGGTGACTTGTAAAAAATTTTTAAAATGTTGCCTATCAATATTAAAAATTTACGTAGTTTGTCACCATTGCACAGGAATGAGCAATTTTAAAAGCATGTCGTGTTTGGTATCTAATCGGCATAATATCTTTTATATGTTATCAAACAATTGGGCTATATATTGTGTTTTGGGGTATTACAATGCAAAACGTGTATTTTTGCCAAAAATTTCGCATTTGAGAAATCACTGCGCAAATACCGCGTGGCATAAAAAAATTGCACCACCCACCATTTTATTCTCTAGGGCCATTGCTTTAAAAATATATAATGTTTGAGGGTTCAAAGTAATTTCCTAGAAGAAAAAAATATTTTTTCACGTAAACAAAAGGTGTCAGAAAAGGTTTGTTCTTCAAGTGGTTAGAAGAGTGGGTGATGTGTGGCAGAAGCTTCTAATGTTGGCCCTGAAATGCCAGGATGGGGGGGGGGGGGGTGTTTATACTATTCTGGCAGTTTAGGGCCTCCGAAACTTTGGTAGATAGTGAGAAAGTGATATGAGGAAATACGCCCTTCGAAAGACTAAAGGTGGTCATTGGATTTTGGGACCTGTATGTGGATAGGCTGCCAAAAAGTCTCACGTGGTATCCCCAAACTTGGGAGTAGAAAAATGTGTTTTGGGGTGTTCTTCCACATATACCCATGGCATGTGTGAGCAATATATCATTTAAGTGAGAACTTTGTGTAAAAATAAAAAACAATTGGCAAAAAAATAAAGATTTTCATGGATTCAACATGTCTCACCAAATTCCTTGGGGTGTCTACTTTCCAAAAAGGGGTCACTTGGGGTGTTTGTACCGTGCTGCCATTTCAGCAACTCAAAAAATGTAATAGGTAGTCAGAAAGTAAAAGCTGTGTAAATTCCAGTATACAGTATCTCCCAGAAGTGAGTACACC